CCAGGGGTGATGCTCACTGCCCCCCCTTCAGTCCACACCTTTCCTCCCGCACTGGTTTTATTCCTCCTCTTCTTTCTTCCCATTACTGAAACGAGCATCATTGATTTTTTATAGTGCTAATTCTTCTCCTAACAGAAAGCCACCTGGGATCACATCAAATTGCTTACCAGCATCCAAACACTATTATGGCAGCTCAGGCCCTTTCAGCAGCCAAACGAGTCAGCTCGATAAGAAACAGCATCAAGTTTGGCTGGATGAGGCTCCTTTTCCCAGACATCAATTAGGCCACCTACTTTTAGGCTTTGCTGATCACATCATGCATCAACCTTCCCTTGCCGTGCTCTCGTGGCTTCGCCATCAGGCCATGCTCATCCTCTTTATTTGCTCTATAACTGAGACATTCATTTCCCAGTGCCCATTGCTCCCAGCTCTGGCAGGAACGGGCAGGAATGATTTAAGTTCTCCAACCACTCGTGTTAATGCTCTTGGGTGTACGTTTGCTGGTCTTGTAAATGTAGACGCACTGCACTTTAATCGCGGGTTTAATTGCGAGCAGGAACGTTCCTGCTTCCCAAATGTGCCCATAAACCTTTATAGCTCTGCCTGGGAACAATGCGGCTGCAATGGAGGATGCGCGTCCACTGGGATGGAATAAAAGGACCCCAGCCTGGTTTGGGTTGGAAGGGACCTAAAGCTCCTCCAGCTCCAACCCCTGGCACGGGCAGGGACCCCTTCCACTAGAGCAGCTTGCTCCAAGCCCCTGTGTCCAACCTGGCCTTGAACACTGCCAGGGATGGGGCAGCCACAGCTTTTCTGGGCACCCTGTGCCAGCGCCTCAGCACCCTCACAGGGAAGAGCTTCTGCCTAAGAGCTCATCTCAGTCTCCCCTCTGGCAGGTTAAAGCCATTCCCCTTGGCCTGTCCCTACAGGCCCTTGCCCAAAGCCCCTCTCCAGGTTTCCTGTAGCCCCTTTAGGCACTGGAGCTGCTCCACAGCCGCCTGAACCCATGGTCCCTTCTTGGGCTGGTCACCCAGGCTGGTGCTGAGGTGGGTTGGTGTTTTTCATGCCTCCAACACACACAATTCCCACCTTGGAGCCGTCTCCAGATCCTCAGCGCTGCCCATCCCTGGAGCATCCCTATCCCTCCACACCAGCACCCACCACCCTGCAGCATCCCTGGGCACCGAGGCATCACCGCGCTCATTGTGTCCCATCCCATGGGATGGGGTGCAGGGATACGAGGGTCTCACCATCCCTATGCCACTGCCAGCCCCCCATTGCCATGGCAACCATGCAAATGTGAAAGCTTTCCATAATCATTAGGGAGCAGAGCAGTATAAACAGTGACTGCAGCAGATTACATGCCGATTATGAACAGTCGCACCTTCTGAGTGCTGGTAATTACACCTAATTGTGCATTTAATTGTGTAATTGAAAACCCCCATGCACAGTTCATCCCGGGCTCTGTTCCCCTTTCCCGGCAGTGGGAATGCGGTCAGGGGCAGCTCCGGCCCCGCTGTCCTCAGGTCATCCCTGTGCTGGGAATGGGGCACGGTGGGAACCACGCGAGGACAAAGGATGCCGGTGGATGTTGGAGGTGCCAGAGCTGGAGGCCAAAAGCAGGGAGACGGGGACAGCAGGGTCAGGAAGCGGTGCAGTGGGGTCCTGCCGGGGATGGGGATGTCACACAGGGCTGATGGGTGCTTCAGGGATACAGGGATGGACTTTGCGCATCCTTCCTTAGGCCGACCCTGTTAGCTCCTTCCCTGGGCTTGGTGATGGGGGGAGTTCACATCCCAAAGGCTCTCAGTGCCCTGTGTGAAGCCCATGGATCAGGGAAGCAAGGAGGGAGGGATCCGTGGCCCCTCGCCCTGCACCTCAACCCTGGGAGGCTGCGGGGGGAAGGATGCCAGTGCCGGTGTGGTACAGCATGGCACAGCACAGCACCACACACTGCCACCCCGGCAGGCTCAGCCAGGCAGGAGGTGCCAATGGAGCTTTGCTTTCCCAGCCAATTAAAGGAGAAGGAGAGGAACAAAGAAGGAAAAGGAGCCCTGGTTCGGAGCAAAGCTGAGCTGCATCCCACCCCCGGGGAGCCCTGTGCTGTGATGGGAGCACCACCGGGGCATGGAGGAGCCCACCTGAGCATCACTGAGTGGGATGGCCGGCTCCAGCCTGACCTCAGCTTCCAGCATCCCACATCCTGGAATCCCATATCCCTGCCCACAAGATCGGGTACAACCCTCTGCAGCAGCACAGCTGTCCTGGTCTGCAGCCAACACCATTAGGCTTCAGAGTTAACAAGAGTCATGGCTTGTGGCTCCATGTCCATGCTTGCAGTAGTCGGGTGGTATCACCCCCAGGTCCATTTCCCATCCAACCACCTCAGCAGCTCTCATCTTCACATAAAGATAAATCCTCCCAACATCACCCATCCCAGAGAAAGGTTCCCAAAGCCCCCGGAACCCCCCAGGCTTTCCCAAATGCTGGGAAGGACCAGCAGAAACCTGAGAGTTTTGATTTCATCCCACCTCATCTGCACAAATATCTCCCGGCAGCTCCTCTTGATGTGGGGCAGGGCTGGTGGGCATCTGGCAAGTGCATCCCTGGGGTTTTCCCAAAGGAAAAAAGAGAGGCAAAATCCAATCCCTTGGGAATGGTGACCCCGTGTGCAGCATCACCTCACTGAGTGCTCAAAGGAGCACGTGGGATATTTGATGCTCCAAAGCTGCCGTGCCATGGCCCAAACACCGGTTTCCCAAACCTGGTTCAGGCACAATCACTGCCCCAAGGGCTGTGCTGGGCTCTGCCTGCAGTGTCCTGCCCCTCCAGACCTGCCCTTTCCAACCCAGCACAGGGGACCTGGCCCCCAGTGGGTACCAGCAGCATCCTCTATCACCATGAGCATCCCCCGTGGGGACACAAGGGACCAGGAGCGCATCCCCAGGTTGCAAATACTGGGGAAACCAATGGTTCCATGGTGGCACACAGGGAGCAGCGGGAAGGTGCCTGCAGGAAGGGGGCCCAGCAGTGAGGACCAGCCAGAGGTGATGGTGTCACCCAGGGCAGGCTGCTCCTCACCCACACTGCTTTGCTTAAGGGAAACCGAGGCTGATGAGGCCTGGCAACCAGCGTGCTGGCTGTCGGCACAAGGTGACCCTGCAGCAATGGGGCACCCCCAGTACGCACCAGTCCAACCCCAGGCACTGGGAGCACTGGGAGCATGGCAGCCATCCCCCCCCACAGCACAGAGAGCCGGGGTCAGGCATCATCCCTGCTCCCCATCATCCCCTCCCAGCCCTCAGCATCACCTGGGCTGCACAACTCGACCATGTCACCTCAAGGATGAATATTGGCCTTGGTACCCAAGGGGACCCTGATGGCTCAGCCCAGGGCTGACGCCCCTCATCCTGGGCAGGGCACCCAGTGGTACCTTTTCCTCATGGACCACATGGGTACCACTGCTGTGGAATGGGGTGCTGAGGGCAGAGAGCATCTCCCCATGGCCAGCGGGATGCAAGCTGCTGCTTCCAGAGCTGGGAGAGCATCCCACAGGCTGGGAGGGGATGAGCTGTAGGATGGGGTGAGCCTGAGGTGGGAGAGCCACTGGCGAGGGGCATTTACAGAGCCAAGCCTTTGGGAATGCTGGCAGCACCAAGACACACAGAGTAAGGGGTGGAGAGCAAAGCCTGACCCCCATCTGCAGCACCAAGTTTCTGCTCTCCCAACTCGGTTCAGTTCTTCCCCTACAATAAATAGGTTAAAATCCACTGGATCTGGGATATGGCAGGGAATAAACACCAACAAGTGACCGAGAGCCAGGAAACTCCTGCACGCCCAGAAAACACCCATCAGGTTTATCCTAAGGGGGAAGGCGAGCAAAGCGCAAAGCAAGGCTTTACGGATTGAACCAGGGGGACGGCTGGGGACACAAGAGGGCATTCCCACTGGGAATGGCAGGACTCCAGCCTGCGGTTCAGGGCTGGCTTGGAGCATTCCTGCATCCCGCCAGGAAAACCCAGTGCCCCCCATCCAAGAGTGGGGACCCTCCCGCTCTCTGCCTTCCAAAGAATGGAGAATGAACGAGAGCAACGCCGGGAAGAAAGCGCGGGTCAGCGGGATAACACCGTCATCCCTGGAGCTCATCCGGAGGCTTTCCATCACTGCCTCCATCCACCCCATCACCCCCGATCCCTGGGGACACCAGGGCTGACCACCCTGCCTTTCCACAATCTCCTTCCTCACCACGATGAGCCCCAGCATGGCCATGAGGCAAGTTGTAGGGAGCTGATGCTCTGTTACTGAACCACCCACCCGGGATAATCCATCACAACCTGCTTTTAGTGGAAACCCCCCCAAACACCCCATGCGCTCCCATCGCTGGCTCCGCTGTGGGCAGCCTGATGAGGACTGACCCCCAGGCAGCAGCCAGCACAGCACCCTTCTGAAGGCCAACAATCCCATTAAACCCTTCCTTTCCCTCTGCTCCCACCATCCCAGCATCCCCCCGCCGCGGGCAGACGGGTCCCACTTGAAAGCAGGAGAGTTTCCAAAGTGCTGGCAGTGGCTCCAAGTTTCCCTTTGGATCCAGCTCGGGGGAGCAGCACCCCAAGGAACATCCTTGGAGTGACCAGGATGGGAAAGCGCCGGCGGCAGCGAACAGGGAGGGAAGAGGATGCAGGTGGAAACAAAGCTCACACCTGCTGGAGACACATCCCTCAGGCGCTGACAGCGCAGGGAACCGGCTCCCATCCATCTCCCCAGCCGTGACTCCAGCCAGCGCCGGATTGAGGCAGGGGATGAGGGGGGCATCTCATCTCATTCCTCATTGAGTGTTAAATCTCCTTGGGGTATAGGGGGGGGCTTGGGTGTCAGTGAAGCATCCCCAAGCCGGTCCCACAGCAAGGTCACCGCCGACACGGCGCGGGTAGCGGTGACAGCAGCGTTCGCACAAAGCACGACCCGGCATGCTGATGAGCGCGGGCGGCCCCTCGCCTTACCAGCTGCAGGCAGCAGAATCCCACCAGCGTGCATCTCCCATTGCATCTCCCCATGGTTTCCCAGCCGGAGCCGCGGATTTTCCTCCACCGTGGCCTCGCGTCGCCGTCCTCCGACTCCTCAGCGGCAGAGCCGACACCCGGCGAGCATCAGCCGGGCACCAGCAACATGTCCCGCTCCGCAACCCCCGGCCAGCCCCGGTACTTTCTTCACAGCAGCCCCGCCATCTCCCGCACCCTGCCAGGGCAGCGCAGAGCCGGGATGGGCTCAGAAAGGGGCATCGCCCCCCATTCTCCGCCTTCCTCCCCGCTCCAAGCCAAGTGCGCTCCAACACCCCCCCCACCCCCCCGAGCCCGCTACAGCCCCATCCCTTAGCGCAGAGCCCCCGGGGCCGCGCAGCCCTCGCCGCCCATCCCCGGAGCCCGCAGCTCTATTGTCTCTCCCGCACAGCCCCGGGGGCGGGCGGGGAGGTGGCGGCGGGGTGGGGTCGGGGGCGCGCCGGGCAGGGCGGGACGCGGCCGCCGGAACAACGCCAGACGCGCTCCCCAGCGGGGCCCGGCAGGCGGAGCGGCCGGGAGGGGCGGAGGCTAGGCCGGGCACGCTGCGCAGCGACGAGCCCTTTAGTGGCTTCCGGGGGCGCCGGGAGGTGCGGACCCTTCGCTGCAGGCGCTGCTGCCGGTAGCGCCCGCCTTCCCTTAGCCCGGTATTGGCCTTTTTAACGGCAGATTTCTATTCTATTATTTTCCAGGTGGGGATGGGTTAAACCCCGGCGATGCGAATGCAAAGGGGCTGCTGAGCTGCTGCCCTCCCCTTTCCCTCGGCCCTGCGGCCCTTGGGCGGTGCCTGGACCCGCAGCACGGGGACCCCGTAGCCGCCTCCTTTGGGGTGGTGGTGCCGGGGCAGCAGCGGGGTTCGCAGGGAGGGGAAGCCCCCGAGCATCTTCCCCCTGCAGAGCCCTCAGCCCGGCACCCGCGGCTCCAGGGCCGGCAGCATCCACCGGGGCTGTGGTCCTGAAGGGCTTAAACCCAGCAGAGCTGACAGGGTCCGGCCCCAAACCGCCACCCACCCTGCTCGCCTTTGTTCTGCTTTCACAGCACGGCTTCAGGGGGATCGGGGAGCGCACATCCTCCAAGGAACAGCTGGGATGCTGCTTTAGGAACCTCCTGCCGAAATGCCACCGGCACAAGGTCTCGGGAACACTTTGCTGCTTTTCCCTTCCATGATTTCTTAATCCTCAGCTCTGGTTTTTATAAGGAACCATCTCTTAAACCAGCCCCATATGCTGTTAGGTGTCGGAGCTGCTCTGCACCAGATCCAAGGCACTGCAAACCTTACAGGTACATTAGAATCATAGAATAGTTAGGGTTAGAAAGGACCTTAAGATCACCCAGTTCCAACCTCCCTGCCATGGGCAGGGACACCTCACACTAAACCATGGCACCCAAGGCTCTGTCCAACCTGGCTTTGAACACTGCCAGGGATGGAGCATTCACAACCTCCCCGGGCAACCCATTCCAGTGCCTCAGCACCCTCACAGTAAAGAACTTCCTCCTTAAATCAAATCTAACTTCCCCGTTTAAGTGCACATTAATGTGCAAGTGTCGCCTGGCCATGGTCTAACCAAGGGCCCATCCCATCCCCATGGGCTGCTGGGACCTGGAGCATCTCCTTCATCCTCCATAGTGGGAATTTCTCTCCCTCCCTTTACATGGCCTTCATGAATGCAAGAAACATGCAGGGGGTTCACCAAGTGATGCTCTGAAGCAAGGGACCTGCAGAGGTGGTTGCACCCAGGCTGAACCATCACTGTTTGAGACACAGGGACCTCTGCATTTCTTCTACCCTATCCCCAGGCCCTCACCAAGAGCTGAGCGAGATCCCATCACCCTCATCCCATGGGGAGAGGTGTCCTGTGCTCCTGCAGGTTATCTGGATGCATAAGGGTGCAGCATCAAGCTTGTGGCTTCCTCTGGGATTTCAGCACAGCAGAAACCCAAAGCAGAGGGACTGGTTTCACCCCATGGGTCAAAACAAGGCCCAAGCACCCCACAGCATCTCCTTGGCAATGAGCAAATCCGCTCAGCTCAGCCTGCCTGTCCGGCTCCTAAAAATGCCAGGAAAAGGCAAAAAGCCCTGATGTAAACCCAGAAAACCCAATCCAGTGGCTCCCGAGCAGGTGGAGCTTCCTGAGGAATCAATAGGAGATTAGAAAAGGTCAATAGAACGTGTCAAGTGCTTCCCTAGAAGGCGAGGAGAGGACTTCATCTATGTTGTGGGTGGGAAATGCACCCACCTTTGGCTTTTGTTCCCTTTTCTGTTGCAAGAAAACACCTCAATGACTTTAGCACTCCCTACAACTGCCTGAGAGGAGGATGGAGCCAGGAGGGGCTGGGCTCTGCTCCCAAGGAACAAGGGATGGGACAAGAGGAAACGGCCCCAAGCTGCACCAGGGCAGGTTTAGATGGAGATTAGCGATGGGGACCCCAAACCTGGGCATCAGTCTCCTGCCAGCGCAGCCGTCACCAGCCCTGAGCCAGCACCTCTGCTGCTGGCCTTGACCCTGAACCCATCCTCCTCCTCCTCACCTCACCTGGACCAGCCCCAACCCACAGCAACACCAAGCCCATGGGACCCCTTGGGGGCATCCTCCAGCTCCCAGCCCCAGGAGAAGGATCACGATGGAGCAAAGCAGCAAAGACCCCTCTATTTAACCGATTCCTCCCCGATTTTAACTTCATGAGGCCCCAGGCTGCGGATCCCCCTGAGTTCCTTGGATTGCTGTTAATGGATCCTTGTTCCTCTGACTCATGGTGAATTGATGGAGAAATTAAAATGCATTCACACCATTCTCTTATCTGGGTGTCTCGCGAGCAGGCTGGCACATTACAGAACCCATCAGCATCGAGCCTTTGTAGCTCGCAAAATTCATAATTAACCAAAAACTTCTATTCACTTCTTCATGTAATTTAATTAGTTTCCCATTAAATAGACACTAAAGTATCCTCTATTTCCCAACAGAGCAAATAATTGTTTTCTATCCTCTTAGAAGTTATCGCTTGCTTATTGTAACTACCACAATTCATTAGGAGCCTCTAAGCAGCAGGGGGGGCAAGGACTGGAGGAAGGGACAGGGAGGTAATGAAAGGGGGTGGCAGGGCCGGGGTGCCCTTGGCTGAGCCAGGACCTCCCAGTGATGCCCATGTTGTGCCCAGCACCCAGCACAGGATCAGCCCACTGATGCTGAAGGGCCAAAGAGGATGGGGATGAGGATGCAGGGGGTCCCTGCCAGCTCTCCATTCCCCGTGGGAAGCAGCAGGCAGGAAAGCTCAGAGCAGCTCTATCACACAGAGGCCGTTTATCTGGATCCCAGGAAGGATTTAGTTTACAGTGGAAATCTCTCAAGCAAAGACCTCCCTTGGAGGAACGAACCTGTTCAAGAAAACAATTGGCTCTGTGCTTGGATTATGCCTTGAACACTTTGCTGCTGCGATGCCCGAGAGCTGGTGGGGTTCCAGTGTGGGATGGGATCCACGAGGAGCCCGAGGCAGGGACTGGGAACCTTGGGACTGGGAACTGGTGGGAAAAGCAGCCCCAAATCCCCTGGAGCTGTGGTACCTGGTACAGAGCATCACCCTGACCCAAGGGCTGGTGCTGGCCCTGACAGTCTGGGGGGCTGTGAGTACATGGGGGTACACATGGGTACATGAATGAACGTGCACATGCAGGGGAGTGTGCATGGATATGTGCATGTTTGCACCTGTGTGCGTGTGTGTGCTTGTGTATGCATGTATTTGTGCTGGGCTGCACCCCCAGAGCGTGAGCAGCAGCTCAGGGAGGGGATCCTGCCCCTCTGCTGCGCTCTGGGGAGAACCCCCTGCAGCCCTGATCCAGCTCTGGGGCAGCAGAACGAGAGGGACGTGGAGCTGTTGGAGCGAGGCCAGAGGAGGCCATGGAGATGCTGTGAGGGCTGGAGCAGCTCTGCTCTGGAGCCAGGCTGAGAGAGCTGGGCTGGGTCAGCCTGGAGAAGAGAAGGCTCCTGAAGGGGAGACCTGAGAGCAGCTCCAGTGCCTGAAGGGGCTGCAGGAAACCTGGAGAGGGGCTTGGGACAAGGGCCTGTAGGGACAGGCCAAGGGGAATGGCTTTAACCTGCCAGAGGGGAGGCTGAGATGAGCTCTTAGGCAGAAGCTCTTCCCTGCGAGGGTCCCTTCCAACCCAAACCACGCTGTGGTTCTATGGAGTTAACATCTGTGGTTTCCCTGGGGTGCGTACAAGTGCTTGATTTAGTGTTGGACACTGAAGAGTAAACCAGAGCAACAAGTCCCACACACAGTTCTTGTAAAAAGCCATCTATTTCAGTTTTCACTGTATAAAAAACCCAAGAGAAATGGACAAGGAATATACAAACCACATGTGGACCTTGAACAACTTTTACCAATTTCAAGTGATCTGGGGAAGGGTTTTATCATCTGTGGTACAGCCAAAAACAAATTCCTTTCAATCCCTACTATTCCTTCCTCCCCACAGGAGGGAGGTTGGAAGGAGGCTGTACAGTGACATTACAGCCTGAGGAGGGCAGTTTGTCACATTGAGCTGCTTCAACGTTGTCCCAGTGCCATCAGTGTGAGGGGGTCTGGCATCAGCAAGAGGCAAAGTCAATCCCACCTCTGTAAACCAAGGATCATGGATCCCATCTCCTTGTTGGCTTCACTGGATCTCCCCCATGTACAGCCTTTTGTCACTGGATGCAGAGAGAACTGAAGGAGAGAGATGGGAAAAGGGGGATATGTTAAACACAACAGTTTGGGATCTCCACAAAACACAGAGTTGGAATTGACTTTATTTCACTTGCTGCTTGTGAGCTATAAAGCCAAATTGCCTTTGCTCCCCAAAACCACCCCGTGGAATTGCTCCTCTGACCACTGCACACCATGGCTGCCATTCCCCCAGCCCCAGACAGGCATAACCACACACTGCCTGCAATGTCTGAGCAGGAAAGCAGTAAAGAGAGGTGCATGAACACGCTGGTAGTGCTCTGGAGCATCCCAAGGGGTTGTTTCCACAGCCTGGATGCTGCCGGGGGCCTGCCGGCCGCTAGAGGGCACAGGCTGCCCAGGGAAGCCTCGAGGGCGGTGGTAGTGATCCAGAGCAGGGTAAAGGCAGCTGGAGCCCAGCTCCACCGCACCACCTCCACCTCGAAAAGGCTCTTCAGGGGATTCAATACACAAGAACAAGCCAGAAGCACCACTCTTGACACTGACAACGGCTTCATTTGAGCCCAGGAGAGGTGTGGGTGTTTCTGTGTGAACTCACACGCTGCTGTCGCTGAGCACA